GCATTCAGCTACGATTCTTGTGCTGAAAAAAATACATACAAATTCAGCACCACTTAATAAGTTCAGCAGGTGAATTTTTATTTATCAAACACTTACAACATCTGAATATCTGAATGAATTCAGTTTCAGCACTTTTTTATGTTATCAAACAGGCACTAAGTCACCAACTCCAAACCATAGTTATTAAAATCAACCCGGTCATCAACCCAGCATGAGGATCGAGTTGGCAGGTTAGTAGTTCAATCGCAATTCACTGGTTAAACCGTTGGGTCACACTATATAATAAAAAATATATTTTATAATTAAATAAACATATAAATTATAGTAAAAGTAGTTCAAAACGTCCCTCACATTTTATGAAATGATTTTTTTGTTTCTTACTTTTAAAAGTGTAATCTTACGTTTCTTAGAAATTCACATTAATCAAATTTAGTCCATACCTAGATTTCTGACTAGTTTTTGGCAGGAATTCACTGTGTGTATTGCACGTAATCATTTTTAAGGCAAAATTATCAAATTAGATTTAACATAATTCGATCCATAGTTCCTCATATTTTATAAAATGAATCTTTTCATCCCTTACATTTCAAAAATGAATTTTTTCATCATTCGTTGATCATGTCTACGAATAGTTTTTTTAAACTCACACACACACATACACATATATATATATATATATATTTGATTTCACTTGAATAGTACCAATAGCATTTAATATATCTTTATTTGATTTCGTCCGAATGTATATACACGGGTTAAAAAAATTATTAGTTTTTTCACTCATGTTCATTTCTTTTTACTCAAAAATTGAAAACAAAGAAAATATTTAATTCTAAACATTATCGAGTGTTTATATCAAATTAAATTTGGACAGAAAAATAAACAAAGGAAAAGTATGAAAAAAAGAAGTAAGTGATTGGCACTTTAAATTTTAATTAATCACAAGGCAAGTAGTTCAACTGTTGGTCTTAAAATTGGTAAATAGAAATTTCAAATTTAAACTACAATTTGTTAGTATGACTATAGAATACAATGCCTTGTTTGGCAGACAAATTTTTTATCAAGTTTGTCTACTACAAGTTTTTTAAAAACTTTAACTACAGTAACATTAAAAAACTTCTCAAAGTTTTTAAACTATACACTTCAAAATATTCAAAAAAAACATACTTCAAAATTTTTTTTTAAAAACTTCTACAGTAAAGTTTTAGACAAACACCCAAAAAATCACTTGTCAAATGCTGCCCAAGTAAGTGCCCATTAATTAGATGGTCTTATTATACAACTTAATAAATGAATTATTATCAAAAGAACAAAGACCACAAATATTGAATAGGTTCACATAGTAAAATCAAATAGATATATACGTATGGTTTAAAACAAAATTATTGGTTTTAAACCCATGTATATATATATTGAATAACATGTGTACAATTGTAATTAATTTATTTAAAAAAATCAAATAAAGATATATTATATGCTATTCATACTGTTCAAGTGAGCTCAAATAGATATGTATATAGATTTAAAAAATATATATTCAAACATATGGTTAATCTAAGATGAAAATTTTCATTTTGTGAAATGTGAAAAATGAAAAAATTTATTTTGTGAAATGTAATGGACAAAACAATTCATTTTGTGAAATGTGATGGACTATGGATCTAATTATGTAAAAATTGATTTGACAATTTTGCTCCTCAAAAAATGATTACATGCAAGGCAAGTGGTAAATTTCGACTAAAAATTAGTCAAAAACCTAGATAGGGATAAAATTTGATCAATGTGAATTTGTAAAGGATGTAAAATTACACTTTTAAAAGTGAGGGATGAAAAAAGTCATTTTACAAAATATGAGAAATGTTTTGAACGATTTTTCCTAAATTATAATATAAGTATAAAAATTTTTAAACCTTAACAGGTCGTAACTTGTTCATAGTTCATACACACAAGCCATATCTAAACATGGTTCTCAATTCATAAATTCATGTTGATATTACACATAAATATAAATGATAAATTTAAGTGTCAAACCACCAAACATAAGTCACAAACAGCCAAAAGAGGAAAATTGGAAGAATAAAGCAAATAGAGGAAGAGAATTCTATTCTTGAATTTTGATTTTGTGCTGCGAAAGTGAGAAAGAAGAATTAAGTTAAATCCCTAATTGTTAGCATGATGCAAAGAAAGACGAAAATGCACGAATTAGTATTCCTGATCAAATGAAAATTTGGGTAACAAAGTCATTCCATAATAATTTCCAAAACCCATCGAGTTTATCAATAATCGTCCGAGTGTCTCGGTTCTTTAGTCAAACTATCTGAGTTGAACGATCATCAGTGAATTCCATACAACTTCGATTTAATTAGTAACCCAACCCTATTTCAAGGCCGGTTCATCAAGTTGATCGATTGAACCGTCGGACTGTATTAGGTTTAATAACAATATTCTGAACATCAATATTTGACCGATTTTTTCCCTTTTCTTATTTTATACAAATGATGATATTCTAAGGAATTCGCCATGTATACTTTTAGAAAGTAATAGTGCTAACAAAGTTTCAAAACTTTTGGATCATCAGTGCCATTTGGGATTAGATTACACAATAATCAAATGAAACTGCCCAATTCATACAAGTGCTTAATTACCTCATCCAAACCAAATAATTACATGTTAGCCGACCAAAAGTTCCTCAACAATATCAACCAAATTCTCCAATTATCACAATGGCCACCGCTTATGATTCTTGTTTGAATTGCTATTTTTTGAAGTTTTTGTAGATAAACATACGATAACAATTTAATGTATATAAGGTAAAAAGATAATTAAAAAAATATGCATGTTAAAAATTTGGGCAAATTGTAATTTTGGTCCCCAATCTATAGTGTATGCGCGGAATTATCCCCAATCTATTTCGAAAATAATTTGAAAAAATGGCCAATTTAGTCCCTATACTTTTTTTTACTGTCAATTTAGTCCTTACATAATTTTTTTGGCCAATTTAATCCCTATACTTATTTATCGGTTCCAATTGAGGAACTCCGCGGCGGCGCCACCTTGTAATTCCAATCAAACGTCTAATTGAACACTTAAGCAAGGGTATTTCGGGTACTTCACTATTGGGGCTCCTTTTCAAAAGTAAAAATCAAAACCAAAAGTGACCGGCACGCTTTTATCACCGCTGAGAAAATTCACCTGAAACCTCAACTTTTTCTTGCAAAAATCGACTGAAATCGACTGAAATCTTGTAAGAAATTTAGTCCTTTACAGGCACCTTATTAAAACAAATTCAGACAGCTTTCTTATCCCCAAATTTTATCCATCCTAAATAGCCTTGAAAAAGTTCTTGGGTTTCCTTAGCAAATCATTGGAAACCTGATAAAATACAATTCCATTGACCCAGATGTAAGTAAACAAGAATGCCAAGATCACGTACCATATGTAGCTGATAAAATCCAAACAAAGTACATCAATGCCATGGTGTCGCGTCAGCCTAATTCAAGACCCCTTAGCAAGAAGTGTAAATCAACAACAGCATTTGAATCCTTGGTGGAATCATTAGCATCAGGATGTAACGAGGTGCTTTCTTGAGGGATTTCTAATGGCTCTGAAGGGGTTATAAAGGCAACCACACCAGACTGTACTGCGAAAGAGGCACCATTGTCCACAATGGGGTCGGGCGAAAAACCCCAGACTGGGGTTGAAATTGGAGAGAATCACAAAGGTTCCATTGGGTTGGAATTTAGTGGTGGGGTTGAAGAGGGAGCGGGCTTAATTGAAATCACCCAAGAAGAAATTTTTATCAAAGGTTTCGATGCTAGAGAGATGAAGAAAGGCGTGACGGCAGCGGCGGTAGATATGGTAAGAGTGGCGATGGTGGTGGTATTGTTGGTTGCCAAATAGGTTGAGACGGGAGATGAGGGACTTGAGAGAAGGGTTGCCGTCGACGGAAGAGATGAGGTAGTGGGCCCTCTTCTCGACGTTGAAACAGAAGGCAAAAACAAGAGAGATGAGGAAGATAAAGGTGAAGGGATGTGAAATGAAGAATCGGCTGGTTTTCTTGAAGATTTGGACTACTAATTGATTGCTGATCGGGGAAGGAAGCCACCATTTAGGACCACATCTGTCGAAGAAGCGCTTCCTGAAGGATCTGAAAAGAGGATAAGAAGCAGGGGCATTGTTTATGGAGGTTGGGTGCAATTGCTGGCTATCTTGAGCCATCCATTAGTGGGACCAAAATTGATTTGGAGAAATGGTCAATTTAGTCCCTATACTTTTTTTTACCGTCAATTTAGTTCTTACATAATTTTTTTGGCCAATTTAATCCCTATACTTATTTATCGGTTCCAATTGAGAAACTCCGCGGCGGCGCCACCACATAATTTTCATTATGCTCCTAATCGAGAAACCCAAAATGGGTATTTTAGGAACTTCAATGCAGGGCCGTAACCAGTCAACGCTGGGACCGTTGAAAGAGGAGTAATTTTTTTTTCCAATCCAAATTCACACTAATTATTGCCGGATATTCCTTGTTTTGCCGAATATTCCTATCGGCTGAGCTTGATTTCGGAGTCATTGGAAAGCCAATCAGTGAAGCTTTACTTTTCTGATTCACTGAGCAAGGGTATTTCGGGTACTTCACTACTGGGGCTCCTTTTCAAAAGTAAAAATCAAAACCAAAAGTGACCGGCACGCTTTTATCACCGCTGAGAAAATCCACCTGAAACCTCAACTTTTTCTTGCAAAAATCGACTGAAATCTTGTAAGAAATTTAGTCCTTTACAGGCACCTTATTAAAACAAATCCAGACAGCCTTCTTATCCCCAAATTTTATCCATCCCAAATAGCCTTGAAAAAGTTCTTGGATTTCCTTAGCAAATCATTGGAAACCTGATAAAATACAATTCCATTGACCCAGATGTAAGTAAACAAGAATGCCAAGATCACGTACCATATGCAGCTGATAAAATCCAAACAAAGTACATCAATGCCATGGTGTCGCGTCAGCCTAATTCAAGACCCCTTAGCAAGAACTGTAAATCAACAACAACATTTGAATCCTTGGTGGAATCATTAGCATCAGGATGTAACGAGGTGCTTTCTTGAGGGATTTCTAATGGCTCTGAAGGGGTTATAAAGGCAACCACACCAGACCGTACTGCGAAAGAGACACCATTGTCCACAATGGGGTCGGGCGAAAAACCCCAGACTGGGGTTGAAATTGGAGAGAATCACAAAGGTTCCATTGGGTTGGAATTTAGTGGTGGGGTTGAAGAGGGAGCGGGCTTAATTGAAATCACCCAAGAAGAAGTTTTTATCAAAGGTTTCGATGCTAGAGAGATGAAGAAAGGCGTGACGGCGGCGGCGGTAGATATGGTAAGAGTGGCGGTGGTGGTGGTATTGTTGGTTGCCAAATAGGTTTAGACGGGAGATGAGGGACTTGAGAGAAGGGTCGCCGTCGACGGAAGAGATGAGGTAGTGGGCCCCCTTCTCGATGTTGAAACAGAAGGCAAAAACAAGAGAGATGAGGAAGATAAAGGTGAAGGGATGTGAAATGAAGAATCGGCTGATTTTCTTGAAGATTTGGACTACTAATTGATTGCTGATCGGGAAGGAAGCCACCATTTAGGACCACATCTGTCGAAGAGGCGCTTCCTGAAGGATTTGAAAAGAGGATAAGAAGCAGGGGCATTGTTTATGGAGGTTGGGTGCAACTGCTGGCTATCTTGAGCCATCCATCAGTGGGATGCTTTGTGAATCAGAAAAGTAAAGCTTCACTGATTGGCTTTCCAATGACTCTGAAATCAGGCTCAGCCGATAGGAATATCCGGCAAAATAAGGAATATCCGGCAATAATTAGTGTGAATTTGGATTGGAAAAAAAAATTACTCCTCTTTCAACGGTCCCAGCGTTGACTGGTTACGGCCCTGCATTGAAGCTCCTAAAATACCCATTTTGGGTTTCTCGATTAGGAGCATAATGAAAATTATGTGGTGGCGCCGCCGCGGAGTTCCTCAATTGGAACCGATAAATAAGTATATGGATTAAATTGGCCAAAAAAGTATAGGGACTAAATTGGCCATTTTTCCAATCTATTCAATTTTGCGCTAAAGTGGACAATTGATGGAATCTCTTCAATTTCAATCGGAACTAAATCACGTGAGATCCCGTGCCGGCACCTAAAACCCCTTTTTCAATCTTTTAATTTCTAAAACACATTTTTTTCTAGTGGCTTGACTTTTGGCATGGATACTCCTGTCCCTTCAGCTAGATCAATCTCCTCCTAACCGATTCTTTTCCAATCAAAACTCTGAATTAGAGATTTCAAGGCCAAACCCACCACCCGCTGTGCTAGGCCAGAACCAGGGCAAGATCTCCTTCCCATCCCAAATGGAATCAGCTTTGATAGCTGAACCTGCAAGCCTTCGAATCTCTCTGGCTTGAAGTGTATTGGATCATCCCAAACGTTTGGGTCCCTATGAACTGCCCATGCATTAACTAGCAAAATTGTGCCTCGCGGAATATTGTATCCCCCAATTTCACAATCATCGGATGACTCATGTGGCACTAGCATTGATGCTGCTGGGTACAACCGAAATGTTTCTGAAATAATGTTATGAAGATAAGAAAGATTTGATAGATCATGTTCGTTGAGCAATCGATCAGTCCCTTCTTAAGCATCCAATTCAGCTCGAGCTTTCTCTAGCACCTCGGGATGGTTGAGCAAAAGAGACGAGGCCCATTCTATAGTCATCGATGAAGTGTCTGTTTCAGCCGTAAGCATGACCTACCAATAATACACTAGTGGTTCAATTGAATGCTTATTCCAGTTCAACGGTGAAGAATGGCTTATAGGGAAGAATATACTTACCAGTATAATCCCTTTGATGATTTGGTCTGTATAATCCCTTTGATTTCCAATTGTTATCATCCGCTCTTCTCTCTCGGCTGCTTGCTTGCTTGCTTATGAAGTAGTACTGCTGCTGCTGCTCCTGTTGTTTGTGCAGGAGAGTTGAACTGGGTCCAAGCATGACCTACCAATAATATACTAGTGGTTCAATTGAATGTTTATTCCAGTTCAACGGTGAAAAATGACTAATAGGGAAAGAATATACTTACCAATATAATCCCTTTGATGATTTGGTCTGTGTAATCCCTTTGATTTCCAATTGTTATCATTCACTCTTCTCTCTCGACTGCTTGCTTGCTTGCTTATGAAGTAGTACTGCTGCTGCTACTGCTACTCCTGTTGTTTGTGCAGGAAAGTTGAACTGGATTCGTCTCTGGCGTTGATTGCAGATTATCTCCATTACTAATGAAGGCAAGAATGAGACTTGGACTTAGAGGCCAAGCTGAGCTTCTTACTCGTGGCCAATAAGAGGCGTAATTTGGATTGTGAGATTACCTCTTTCATCTCTTTGTTTAATAAGCCAAAAGACAAGAGAAAGCTGAAAATATTAAAAAACGTGTTTTAGAAATTAAAAAATTGAAAAAGAGGTTTTAGGTGCCGGCACGTAATCTCATGTGACTTAGTTCCAATTGAAATTGAAGAGATTTCGTCAATTTTCCACTTTAGCGCAAAATTGAATAAATTGGGGATCAAAATTGATTTTCGAAATAGATTGGGAATAATTCCGCACATACACTATAGATTGGGGACCAAAATTACAATTCTCCCTAAAAATTTTCCTTAAAAACTAGCGATCCAAACGTGCAGAGCTATGAACCTCCCCTAGGGAAAAATGATAAAAAAGAAAAAGAAAAGAACAAAAACAATATGACAAAGCATCTTGGATTTCTTGATTATTGTTGTTTGCTCCTCAGGCCCCAACGTTAATTTAGAACCACAGGCCGCCACAGTAGACCATCACCTGGAACAGAGGGACTTGACATGGGGACCAAGAATTTTCAAGTACAATCTACACGTATGCCTCCAGCCAATCAAAACATACCAGACTCATTTCTTGCACTGGCTAGATAATCCAGCCACCTTCTCAGTTCGAACAATCAAAAGTGCCACAAGAAACTGCCATGGCATCTCTATTTCACCCTCCAATTAAGCCATTATTGTACCATCATCATTCTACATCATCATCATCATCACTACCATCCATAACCCCTTCACCAAAATCATCTTCTAACACAAATAGTTACCTGCCAAGAGCCCGGAATTTGTTCTGCTCTGCTGAGTTCAGAAAAAGAAAATCTTGCATCAAAAGAGGCTGCATTTGCAGGTCAGCCCTTGATGAAGCCTCAGTGAAATACTCTTCAGAAGCTGAGCAATCAAAAGCTGAGCTTGTTAGCTCTTTAAAGCTTAAGTTATTGGTATCCGTTCGTCTCTTTATTCTTTCTGTCTTTTTATTTCGTTTGCTTTTTTGGAAGACTTGTATAGCTGATTTTTTATATGTTTTTTCTTTATTTTTCCTGTTTGGTTTGATGGTGTCTGGAGTGATAATTGTATAATTTCTCTAGTGGGATGCTGAATTATTGCTCCTTAATTGGGAAGTATCAGTCATCGCTGAAGAACGTGTTTGCTTCAATGACAAAAACAGCGTATGGCCCAATTAGATGCAACGGGGAAATTGTTGGTTAATCAACTCAATTGGATGCATCTTTTAATCTACTTTTTGAGGTCTCTGAAGAATTTAGTGATTCTATACTTCAATTAGTTACATTTAACCTGATTTTGAATTGTGAAGCTGGCTAAACTGCCTTGTTGCTTTTGAATCAATACCATAGAATCTTGCGATGTATCAATTTTTGTATGAACTTTTTTTGTAGCTTCATCCCCAGTATGCCTAAGTAGTTAAGTAGTTCCAGAAATTTCTGAGAAGTTAGTATGTCAATGCATTTTTATCTGAATTGGCCAATGTCAATAGTCACTTCTTTAGAACAGAAACATGGATTTGAATGCTTTGAATAGGCTCAACAATAGGTTAGGTTCTCCAAGTTTCTGGCATTAGCCTATTTTTAGTGTACAGATGCTTTTTCAATTAGGATAGCAAAATCAGGAAAATAGTGAAAACTTTGGTACATAAGATATGGACATGGACATCTGTTTGGTAATCCAAAAGATAGCAGAGAAGCACAAAAGCTTGATTTGCTGTAAAGAAAGTATTGGACTCTAGGGTGAGGCTTAAGTTGCCAACCACAGAATCTGGGAATGCTTTAGAGGCTCCTAGTATAGAGAAGTAACACAAAAGATTAAAGGTTATATGTGATTATTGCAGTTGCAGTTAAATAGGACAGTGTTATTCATCCAGAGATTGTAGAATCAAGAAGCTTGCAGTTACTACCACAAATCAGGACACTGTTTTAGACTCTTCTAGTGGAAGATTGGAGGATGTATTTGTTGCAATGCAATCACTTTGGACTTGAATCAGTGTCTACATTGCCATGGTTTTCAACTTGGCCCATGCCTGTCAGCTGCATGCCTTGAGTAACAACTAAAATTGCATGAAGATCAGTCAGAGAAGACATTGTAAATGAGTGCATTAACAATCACAAGAATTACTAGATAATGGATTGGACAAATCAAAAAGTTCCTCAGCTATGTCTTTTTGGCCGGGAAAAGGATTCTATCATTGTTTAATTTGGAATCTGATGTTTAGTGTTGCATATTAGTTGAAAGCACAAGGACATCGAGGCTCCTGCTATGACAATCCTGGAGATTAAGCCTAGGACACAAACCTTATTGCCTATCTGTCAAACCCTCAAGTCATCTGTAAAAGTGAAATCACTTTCATTTCTTTTCATGTTGTGTTGAATTCATTTCATTACGTGTTATTTATTTCTGTTGAAGTAAGCAAGGATGGTCACCTCCAATTCTGAACTGCTAATTTGATCTTAGTGTGTTGTCATAGCTTCTTCCACTCAAAGACCCTGTTCTGATTCCATGGATCTTGCATGCCTCTGGTTATGAACAAAATGTGCTCTCCTCCTTCATTTGATTACTAGTGAGAAGACAAGAGAACATACTACGTTCTTGTTCCTAGTGCCTTTAATCTTTTTCCTTTTCATTTCCTTGCTACTTTCCTTCATTGTTTGTTTTGATTTTTTCCTTGGATTTTTGTTTCTAATTTTTAGTTGCTCTGAGTATGTTAGTAAGGATGAATACTGTTGTATAACATCTAAATCAATAAAGTGGTCTGGAATACATGCCCAAAGGTTTAGAGGTTGAGTCTCTGGTTGGTTGGCTCCCATCTCAAGTTAGGCATGCTTAACAGCCCACTTCCTCAGGAAGAGTTTTGGGGGGGTGGGGGGGAGGAGAAAGAGTTCCATTTATATCATAATGGATTTCAATTATCATTAATCTGTACAAGACAGTACCAGCTTTCCTTTTTGACTCTTTAAGTTAAAAGTACGTGGTCCTGGTACAAGGTGCTTGTTGACAGCAGAGCTATATTTGCAACTGTGAATTCCAATCTGTTATGACAACAATCAAATTTCTTCCTTTGCAATCTGATGTGTGAAATATGATGTTTTCGTATTTATGAGGCTTCAACAAACCTAAATTGCAGAGTGCAGTTTCTGGGCTAAATAGAGGGCTTGCTGCTACTGAAGATGATCGACAGAAAGCAGATGCTGCTGCCAAGGATCTTGAATCTGTTGCTGGCCCTGTCGATCTCTTGGTTGACATTGATAAACTGCAGGGAAGGTGGAAATTGATCTATAGCAGTGCTTTTTCTTCTCGCACTCTTGGTGGAAGCCGTCCTGGACCCCCTACTGGAAGGCTTCTTCCTATAACTCTTGGCCAGGTGAGACGTACTTGCTTAAGAAATCTCCTCAAGTGCTGTCGTTTGACTACAGCATGAGATCATACACAAGAATGGATACTTTGACAATGTTTTTTAGATTTTAATGGCAAAAACAGCGGAATTCTGCTTAATGCTGAAGTGAACGAAAGCCTTAAAAGAGGGTTGCTCCCAGGATATCATGGTGTCCATATCTTCCCTCTCCAGATTGTTGAAACTGTGATTTAGTTTATGGATTGCCCACTTGTTTGTTAGACAAAAACTGCATAATGTAATATCGTGCTTTATTATCTCATCACTGATGGCATAAAGTTTTCTGTTAGGTATTTCAACGGATTGATGTCTTCAGCAAAGACTTTGATAACATAGTTGACCTTGAATTAGGTGCTCCATGGCCTCTTCCACCTGTCGAACTGACTGCTACTTTAGCCCACAAATTCGAAATTATAGGTTGGTGCTTACAATTAAACTTTCTACGTCAGTCTGATTTCAGTGTTTCACCATCTGCATCAGTTTACCACTATCATCATAACCTGCTTGTTGGCACATGTAGGTACTTGCAACATCAAGATAACATTTGAAAAAACTACCGTCAAGACTGCTGGAAACTTATCTCAGTTACCGTCGCTGGAGGTACCACGGATACCAGATTTTTTAAGGCCACCTTCTAACCGTGGAACTGGTGAATTTGAAGTTACCTATCTCGACTCTGATACACGAATCACAAGGGGAGACAGGGAAGAGCTAAGGGTTTTTGTCATCTCATAATTTTCAATGATGAGCTCTATCATACCTGCAGTGACTGATGCATCTCTATCATACTTTCAGAGGCAAGTAGATCTACTGTAACTGCAGAAACACGTAAAAACAGGCCCTTCTGCATATGTATGCGCCCACAGACTTGCACTGGAAAACCTCAATGACTAATTTGTCACAATTAATTGTATAGAGATTCATAGATTTGTTTTTGAAGTGCATCAAGAAAGCCATGAAACTATATGTTCCGAGTGGTATCTATAGCCCCTTAAATGGAACTAACTTTGGCTCAAACCTGGAGTTCTGATGCCAGAAATATATTCAATGAACCTCTTATTTATCTGGGCTGGTGCTCATTGGTCATACAAAAGGTTGAGAAGAAAAAAAAATGTTAGAAGGGGAAACTCAATCAATCAAATTTTAAGCTTCATTTTATCTCATGCATTACCAATAACACCCTGTGACTGAAAAAGGTGCTATTGGTTCTTGTCCCCCTTCCCACAAAGAAAACAAAAGTCAAT